GGGGGACAGCAAGGGCACCCAGTGAATGCCAAGGACACCATGGGGCTGCCTGGGGACACCGGGGGTCTGCTTGGCACCCAGGGGACCCAGGGGATGCTGGGGGGCTGCAAGGGGACATCAAGGGGCTGCATGAGGACCCAAGGGACCAGAGGACCCCATGGAGCTGCATCGGGACCCGGGGGACTCTGGGGACACTGTGGGGCTGCATGGGGACATTGAGGGGCTGCATGGGGACAGCATAGGGCTGCACGGGGAGCCAGGGGATGCCGGAGACGCAGGGACAGGGGGAGGCCGGGGCTCACGGGGCGGCAGGGCCACGCGGCGGCTCCAGGGCCCGGCGCCGGCGCCCGTGTAGGGCCGCACGCGCACGGTGACATCCGGCGTCCCCGGCGGCAGCTCCAGCGTCACCTCCTGCGCCAGCCCCACGTCCAGCACCACCTGCGGTGACGGGGGACACGGGCAGGTGCGGCTGGGGACATGGGAATGGGGGACATGGGGACAGAGGGACATGGGAATGTGGGGACGCGGGGATGTGGGGACGCGGGGACACAGGAACACAGGGACACAAGGATGCCGGGATGTTGGGGACACAGGGAGACAGGGCCGCAAGGAATTTGTTGGGGACACAGGGCCACGGGGACATGAGGATATTGGGGACACAGGGACAGAGGGACATGGGGATATTGGGGACATGAGGAGTATCACGACACTCACCTCGGGGGCACCGGGGCGCTCGTAGCCCACCCGGTAGCCGCGCAGGGCCCCGTTGAGGCGCCCACGCGGGGCCGCCCAGCGCACGCGGGCCCGGCTGCCTGCCCGCTCCGCGCTCACGTTCTCGGGGGGCGCCTCGGGCGCTGCGCACACGGCAGTGGTGCCACCAGGGGCCCCGGCATCCAGGATCCCCCAGTGACCCACAACCCCGGCAGGGCCCCGGCATCCGGACTCCCCATGAGCACCCCACATCCCCCGAGAGTCCCAAGCATCCAACCTCCCCGCCAAGTGCCCCCATACTCCCCTGAATCCCAGCGTCCGGGACCCCCCTGAGCACCCCCACATCCCCCTGAGGGACCCAGGCTCCCCCCTGAGTGCCCCATGGCCCCCTCCAAGTGCCCCACACCCCCAGAGGGACCCCAGGGTCTCGGCACTCTCTCCCCATCCCAATAGGACCCCGACACCAACAGGACTCCGGCACCCCTTGCCCATCCCGTGCACCCCAGGAATCCAGGTGTCCGGGCACCCACTTCCCACCCTGTGGGCCCCCGAGGCCCAGGTGTCCGAGCTCCCCCCCAACCCAGGTCCCCAGGGCGCAGGCATCTGGGCTCCTGCCCCCCATGTGTGGGGCTCACCGTCCTCCAGGGTGCTCATGGGCACCCAGGAGCCCCAGGGCGAGGGTCCCTGGGCGCTGCGACAGCCGACGCGGGCCCGGTAGGCGGCAAAGGGCTGGAGCCCCTCGAGGCGCAGGGCAAAGGGGGGCACGGGTACCGCGCGGGACACGGCCCCCGGAGCCCCCCCGGCTTCATCCGCAGGCACTGCCTGGGGCGGGGAGGGGCGTCAGCCCGGGGAAATACCCGCGAGGCGGGGAAATACCTGCCTGACCCAAGGAAATATCCCCCACCTGGGTAAATACCCACTGGGCCTGGGGAGATATCCCCCCACCCGGGGAAATACCCCTGACCGGTCCCCCCCCCCGAACCCTGGGGACACCCCCCGGGGATGCCCCTCCCCTTCCCCCCTTACCTGCAGGGTGCAGAGGGTGATGGGCGCCTCCCCGCTGGGCCCCGGCTCCCAGGTCATCTGCAGCCACCGGGGTCCGGGTGTCACCAGCGCCAGGTTGCAGGGGGGCTGCGGCACCACTGAGGGGGGCAGGAATGAGTGCAGCACAGGGACCCAGCCCGTGGCCCCCAGGGCCCCGCGTGGTCCTCTGGGTTCCCCCATGTCCCCCTGTGTCCTTGCGTTCCCCATGTTCCCTCCATGTCCCCTGCGCCCCCCATGTGACACGTGTCCCCCCATGTCCCCCCATGTCCCCCTGTGTCCCCCCATGTCCTGCGCCCACCCGTGACCGCGGCTGTACGGGAGGTGCTGACGCCGCGGGCGTTTCGAGCCTCGCAGGAGAAGGTCGCGCTGCGGTTGAGCCCTGTGGGGGGAGTCAGTGGGGGGGGGTCAGGGGGGGCCCAGGTGTCCGAGCCCCCCTCCCCCCCAATAGCCCTGGTGCTGCGCGCAGGGCGGGGGCGGCTGTTGCACGACGTGTCCCCCACCCCACTCCAGCTGCTGCCCCCGCGCAGCTGGAGCGGTCCCGGGCCCGCCTGGACGCCTGGGCCCCTCCGGGTGACTCAAGGCGATGTCACCGCTGGCCGCGGGTCCCGCCCGTGACTCAGCCCTAGCAATGGTGGGGGGGGGAGGGCGCATCCCAAATCCCGGCTCATCCCAACCGGCCCATTGCCCGCCTCGCACCCGTTGCACCCCGACACCTCCCTGCACCCTCATCCCCCCATTGCCCCCTATCCCCATGGCCCCCCCTGCCTCACCGGGCACGTGGAGCAGGGGGGGGGCGCCGGCGGGCGGGGGGGGCTGCAGGGGGGCCCCATCGCGCAGCCAGAGCAGCCACACGGGCTCGGGGGGGCCCCGCGCCCGGCACCGCAGCGTGAAGGGGGTGTCGGCCGCCACCTGCGCGTCCTGTGGCTCCTCCACGAACAGTGGCAGCCCTGGGGGGACGCGGGGGGCCAGGGATCGGCACAGGGCTTGCACGAGGAGGGGGCTTGCACAAGGGTGAGGTTCCCACGAGGATGGGGTTTGCATGAGGATGGGGCTTGCAGGAGGAGGGGACTTGCACGAGGGTGGGGTTTGCACAAGGAGGGGCCTTGCATGAGCACCCTTGCATTAGAGCTCCCTCTGCACAAGGATGTCCCTTGCCTGAGAGCCCCGCGGGCAGGAGGATGCTGTTGCACCAGGAGCACCCTTGCACGCCCCCAACCTTGCAGGAGGGAGCCCCCCTTGCAGGAGGGGCTGGCGCTGCTCACCTTCGAGCTGCAGGAGTGCGGGGGCCGAGAGCAGCTCCCGGCCGCTGCTGCGCACCCAGCACTGGTAGCGCCCGGCATCCGAGGGCTGCAGTGACGGGAGGCTGCGGAGGCGGCGACCATGAGCGCGGGCCGGGCACAGCGGCACCCAGCGTTGCACGGTGTCACCCGGCATTGCACGGTGTCACCCGGTCATGCACGGCGTCACCCGTCTGTGCACGGCATCATCCGGCATTGCACCGTGTCACCCAGCCGTGCACAGCGTCACCCAGCATCGCACCATGTCACCTGGCATTGCATCGTGTCACCTGGCACCGTGCCCGCAGCCTCGCACGGCATCGCCTGGCAGTGCACGGTGTCACCTGGCAGTGCACGGTGTCACCTGGCATTGCACAGTGTCACCTGGCGCCGTGCCCGCAGCCTCGCACGGCATCGCCTGGCAGTGCACGGTGTCACCTGGCAGTGCACGGTGTCACCTGGCATTGCACGGTGTCACCTGGCGCCGTGCCCACAGCCTCGCACGGCATCGCCCGGTGGGTGTTGCACAACAGCCCGCAGCATCGCACGGAATCACACAGCGTTGCACGGTGTTAAGAGGCATTGCACGGTGTTACACGGAGTCGCACGGCACTGCGCGGTGTTGCACGATGTCGCGTGGTGTTACACGGTGTTACGAGGGATTACATGGTGTTACACGGAGTCGCGCGGCATCGCGCGGTGTTGCACGGCGTCACACGGCGTTACAGGGTGTTAAGAGGCATTATATGGTATTACACGGCATGGCACACTGTTGCACATTGTCACGTGGCATTGCATGACATTGCGTTGCACAGCGTTGCAGGACGTTGCAGGACGTCGCACAGCATTCCATGGCATTGCAGGACATCGCACGAGGTTGCATGGCATTGCATGACGTTGCGCAGCATTGTACGAGGTCTCATGGCATTGCACGATGTTGCATGGCATTGCATGGTGTTGCACGGCATTGCACGAGAGTGCACAGCATTGCGTGAGGTTGCACGGTGCTGCACGAGGTCACACGGCATTGCACGACGTCGCGCAGCATCACACAGCATTGCACGATGTCGCATGACGTCATACGGCATTGCACCACGTCGCACGGCATTGCATGATGCCGCACGGCGTCGCGGGGCATTGCACGATGTCGCATGACGTCACACATCATTGCACGATGTTGCACGACGTCGTATGGTGCCGCGCGCCGCTCACCTGAGCTCGCTGGTGCCGAGCCAGAGGCGCTCGCTGAGCGGCACCTGGGCCTGGTCGGTGTCGGCCCAGCGCAGCGGGCGCCCGTCACGCAGCCAGCCCAGCTCGGGTGGCCCCCCCACTGCCTGCACGCGGCACCGCAGCCGCGCCGCCCGGCCCGGCGACGCCGTCACGTTGGACGGGCTCTCCAGGAAGGACAGCGCTGCGGGGGGGGGCAGAGGGGGGGGGCATGAACCCCGGTGCACCCCAAGCTGTTCCCTGTGCACCCTGTCCCGTGAAACCCCCTGTGCACCCCCCATACAACCCCACGTGCATCCTGTCCTGTGCA